TCAGGACGTCACCTTTGACGAGTCGGTTCCTTTCTACCGTCTCTTCCCCTACCGCACTGCCCCTCTCCCTCCCCCGCCGCTTTTCCTCGCTCCAGGTCCCCCTCCGGTAGACCCCCTCCCCCCTCAGGGTCCTGCTCCTTCAAGTGTGTCTCAGGTAGACCCACTCCCCTTGGCTGAGCCTTTGGAGGTCACTTCCGACACCTCTGGCCCAGCTGAGGGGGGTGACGTTGCTGCTGACGCTTGGCGGCCTACCGCCGCTCACCACGCTTGGAGACCCCTCCGGGTTTCCCGCCGCGACCTTCTTCGCCGCCTCTGCAGCCGGTTACTGTTGACTCTGGTGCTGCTGGGGGTGGTGCTACTCGGGGTGCTGCGTCTGGGGGTGCTGAGCCTGTGCGTGAGGTGCTGGGAGGTGTGGAGCCTGGGGGTGCTGAGCCTACGAGTGCGGAGCCTGAGGGTGCTGAGCTGGAGGGTGCCGGGTCGGGCAAGTGCTGAGTCAGCTGGCGTTCCTCCGGGTCTCGTTTCTTGGCGGGGACCTCTCTCACCACAGCAGCTACGAGAGTGGCTTGCGTGGCGTACCCGCCTGAGGAGTCGTGTTGCTGGGCATGGAGGTCCTGCTGCTGGGGGTGCTGCTGCCGGAGGTACTGGGGCTGGAGGCCCTGGAGCTAGTGCTGTCGACCCTGGAGTTGGAGGCCCCGCGGTGACCCTCCGCCGCTCACCATGCTTGGCGATCCCTCCGGGTTTTCCACCTCGACCGTCTTCGCCGCCTCTGCAGCCGGTTCCGGTTGCCTCTGGTGCTGCTGGGGGCGGTGTTTCTTGGGGTCCTGCGTCTGGGGGTGCGAAGCCTGAGGGTGCGGAGCCTGGGGGTGCTGAGCCTACGAGTGCGGAGCCTGAGGGTGCTGAGCCAGAGGGTACCGGGTTGGGGGGTGCTGAGTCTGCTGGTGTTCCTCTAGGTTTTTCTCTTTCTGCTGTTGGAGCTGCTGGAGCTAGTGGTCGTGGAGACGCTGGGAGCACTGGTGCTTCTCGTTTTGGACGTGCTCGTACCGAGGGTACTGGAGCTGCCGGGACTGGCGGTACTGCTGGAGCTAGAGGTGCTAGTTCTGGGGGTGCTGAGTCTCCTGGCGGTCCTCCTGGTGCTGCGTCGCAGTGGCCACCTCTCTCGAGACAGCAGCTACGCAAGTGGTACGCTCAGCGCTACCGCCGTCGAGGTGCTGCGACTAGAGGTACTAGGGCTGGAGCTGGTGCTGTCGACTCTAGAGTTGGAGACCTTGGTGCTGGCGGTGCCGGTTCTGGGGGTGTTGCTGCTACTGGAGGTACTCGAGCTGGAGACCCTGGAGCTGGAGGTGCTGGTTCTGGAGGTGCTGCTGCTGGAGGTACTGAGGCTGGAGACCCTGGAGCTGGAGGTGCCGGTTCTGGGGGTGCTACGACTGGAGGTATTGAGGCGGGAGACCCTGGAGCTGGAGGTTCTAACGCAGCTGGAGACGCTAGAGCTGGAGAATCTAGAGCTGCTGGAGGCGCTGGAGCTGGAGGTTCTGGAGCTACTGGAGGCGCTGGAGGTTCTGGAGCTGCTGGAGGTTCTGGAGCTGCTGGAGGCGCTGGAGCTGGAGGTTCTGGAGCTACTGGAGGCTTTGGAGCTGGAGGCTCTGAAGCTGCTGGAGGCGCTGGAGCTGGCGGTTCTGGAGCTGCTGGAGGCGCTAGGGCTGGAGGTTTCGGAGCTGCTGAAGGCGCTGGCGCTACTGGTGAGGGTGACACTGCACAGCCATGACTATTTTTTGCTCCATCATCACCGTCGTCTCTGCCGCCGCCTGACTCTGTGCTTCGCCAGGTTCTTAGCCTACCGTCTTCCACTGGCCTACCGTTACAGCCAGGCTCCCCAGTGCCTACTCCCTCTCCTTACACTGAGCAGACAGGAGGTCTTACGGAGCTCGCGAGCCAACGTCCCGTCCTGCCTCGCCTGTTCGCATTGTTCGCACTGGTTGCACTAGTCGTCGTGTTCCTCGTGAGCGTCCTCCTCCCGTCCCCGGCACGCACATTATGTCCCTTCGTCCTTCCTCTGTTCCTCTGCGCGTTCCCCTGCCGTCTCCTCCTGCGTCTTCTCTGCCTGACGTTCCGGACCCTGAGTCTGACCTGGTTCGTGCTGCACACCCAACTGACACGCGTCTGCTAGCCACTGTTGTCATTGACCCTTCGTTTGAGTCTGCTTCTGCGTCTGCCTTAGTCTCTGAGCTTGTTGACTTTGCTGCTACCTGTCGTCTAGACTACGCTGCTAGTCTTGTTGCTGAGTCTGAGTTTGTCTGTCCTCCGTCTGTCGGGGGTGAGTGTGCTCTTGGCACGGACGTCCTTGAGGACAGACAGGAGGACTTTGAGTGTCTTGCAGCCGCTGCGCCTCATCTCGTGGCCATGCTGCTTGCCCCTGAGGGAGACCCGGATGCTCCAGACATCCCGACCCCGCGCTCTTATGCTGAGGCGATCGCGGGTGAGTACTCCTCTCAGTGGCAGACAGCCATGGACGTAGAGTGGAGCCTCCACCGGCTAGTCTACGGTATCCGTCAGGCGCCTCGTGAGTGGCATGACACACTGAGGACGACACTTGCGGCTCTTGGGTTTGCACCTTCGACTGCTGACCCGTTGCTGTTTCGGCGCATCGACACTTTGCTGTCGTCGTTCAACATCCTCGTGTACGTCGACGACTTGGTCTTTGCCACTGCTGACACTGAGGCTCTCGCCCTGGTGAAGTCGGAGCTGCAGAAGAGACGCACGTGCACAGACCTGGGTGAGCTGCGCAGCTACCTTGGCTTGCAGATCACCCGGGACAGAGCACGCCGCACCATCACACTGACTCAGTCACACATGGTGCAGCAGGTCCTTCAGCGCTTCGGCTTCACCTGGTCCTCGCCACAGTTCACTCCCCTGGCTACAGGTCACTCGCTCTCAGCTCCACCTTCAGAAAGTCCGTAGAGCCGAATGATCCGTACCCAGAGCTAGTGGGCTGCCTCATGTACCTGATGACCTGCACTCGTCTTGACCTTGCGTACCCTCTTGGCCTTCTAACAAGCTATGTGGCTCCTGGTAGGCATCGATAGGTGCACTTCGATGGTGCGAAGAGGGTACTGCGCTACTTGTGCAGCACATCGGGCATGGGGCTCGTGCTTGGAGGGCGGAGCCCAGTTGTCCTCACTGGGCACTCAGACGCTTCTTGGGTTGACGACCTGGCTACACAGCGGTCGTCACAGGGTTACACGTTCAGCCTTGGCTCTGGCTCTATTTCTTGGCGGTCTACACGCTCGTCTTCTGTTCTCAGCTCCAGTTGTGAGGCTGAGATCTACGCCATGGCTGCACAGGAGCTACGCTGGCTCACCTACCTGCTGACCGACTTGGGAGAGAGGCCTCGTTCTCCTCCACATCTGTACGTCGACGACAAGGCTGCCATTGCCTTGTGTCAGGACCACAGACTGGAGCACAGAACGAAGCACATCGCTCTGTGTTACTTCCTTGCTCGAGAGTTGCAGCAGCGTGGCCAGCTTCGTGTCGCTCACTTGCCCACCCGGGCCAACACGGCTGATGTGTTCACCAAGGCCCTTCCGGCTGGTGATCATCAGCGCTTCTGCACTGCTCTAGGCCTGGTGCCTACGTTTCCTCACTTGCTGTAGACTTTGCTTGTACTGTGATCTATATATGTACCTGCATACTTGTTCTTGCTAGGTAGTGATTACTGTACTGTTGTTGTTGCATATATACCTCTGCATGTGAACTGGCCTTGTGGCCATTTGCTCGCGCTCGGAATGTGTGGTGATGTAGTGATCCATCCTGAGCTTGCTTTGCTTTTCTTGACTGGTCGTGTGACCCCTTGTTCTCCCCCACTTTGCCTATGGGGGTGTGTCAAACTATATCTGTGCTAGTTATGTGTAGGCTATAGTGGGGTAGCCCATATGGGATAGAACCAAACATTAGGGTTAGTACTTGTGCCCTTAATTCACTCAATGCAATCATTCCTGCTTCCTATTTTGACATAAATATGAGTACAGGAAATTCGAATCGACCTAGATAGCCATGTACTCTAATTGATGTGTCATTGATGTGGGTTGGGGTACATATAGCAAACCCTAACATTTGTACCCCCTAAGACAAGCCTCACTACAGGCTACAACATTTGACACACCCCCATAGCCTAAGTGAGGGGTGTCGAACAAAACCAAAAGCGTACGGTCACAAGACCAGTCGCAAAGAAACGAAGCTCAGGGTGGATCACAACGTCACCACACACTCTGAGCACAAGCAAAAGAGCCACAAGGCCAGTCCAAGAGTTCACAAAGGTGTATAGCAAGAGTGCAAGCAAAGCAAATAGTAAACTCAAGCCTACCCACGACGAGAACCTGTGTTAACAAGGCCTAACTGCACACAACACCTCTGGTGGTCACAAGGCGGAAGCGCCTTGGTGAAGATGTCTGCAGTGTTGGCCTCGGACTCCACAAACTCGAAGCGAGCCTGTCCACGTCTCTGCAACTCTCGCAGAAGGAAGTACCTGACGTTAATGTGCTTCACTCTGCTCTCCAGTCGCGGCTCTTGACAGAGGAGACAAGGCACTTTCACAGCTGGAGGATTTGAATCACCTTCACCACTTGAGTGTGGACCTGTCACGCCTGGCGAGGAATGCATTCAACAGTCTGGGGTCGCTACTCTCACGGCAGATCTCACAGTGAACCCTGATTGTCAACTCTGCCCTCTGCTCGCCGCTATTCTGAGCTGTCCTCATTCTTCTCTGCACTCTTACCTCGCTACTCTTAAGCATCTATGCACTGCTACACTTGAGTCTCCAAGTGAACTCCCTTAGAAACCCTGAAAGCTGACCCATGTCACGCAATGCACAAAACAAAGCGAGTGTGTGTGGGAACGAACGCGGCCGGCATTCCTCGTCCCCCACAGGGATTTTTGAGATGCATTTTCTCTCTTCCCTCCCCCCTTCCTCCTCTCTCCCTCCCCCCTTCCCCCCTTGTTTTTGCAGCATGCAAGAAAAGCGCGTGTCAGACGAGGACATGGAGCAGGCAGGCCTTCCTCACACTCTTAACGAAGCTCTGGACGAGTGGTTAGAGGCGGCAGGTCTTACTGAAGAAGGGTCTGAGGCTCAGTCCGCAGAAGGGGTTGAGGCTGCAGAGGGGTCTGAGGCTGCAGAGGGGTCTGAGGCTGCAGAGGGGTCTGAGGCTCCAGAGGGGTCTGAGGCTGCAGAGGGGTCTGAGGCTGCAGAGGGGTCTGAGGCTGCAGAGGGGTCTGAGGCTGCAGAGGGGTCTCAGGCTGCAGAGGGGTCTGAGGCTGCAGAGGGTGCTGAAACTGTAGAGGGGATTGAGGCTGTGGCGCAATGCCAAGTACCGGAGCCTGCAGCAGACCCATCCGAAGAAGCGATGCAAAAACTGGGTAACCTGCTATCCTTGCTGTGCAGTACCCACATGAGCGGAGGACACAGCTACAATGAGGTGCTGACAAAGCATCAGTCCGTGGGAGAAGAGCTCAAGGCGCTCAGGGAAAGTGTTGACATGAGCTACATTGACGAGTAAGTGAGCGATTTGCTGTGTAAGCATGCAGGTGGGGTAAGTGTGGGTGTCATTGGAAGAGTGAGTGTGAGTGTAAGGGGGTTGTACTGTGCAAGCATGTGCGTGGATGAAGGGAGGGAGAGAGAGAGTAAATACTTGCAATTTTAGGACTCGGTGCATAATCTGATAGGTCCTATTCTAACAAATATAGTGTACTCAGAGTGGTGCAGTCTGCTATGACATGACTACCTAATATACGGGCTCTAAGCAGAATGCACTGCGTATTAACTACAAGCCTATTTTGCCGTTTTAAACTAGCTCCTGTGCCACCATGGCACCAGCGAAGATCTCAGCCTCAGCTGTAGAGGTCGAGACCGAAGAGGAGCGCGTGGACCTCCAAGAAACAGCTCCAAAACCCAAACTGAAACAGTACCCCTGAGTAGACCTGTGAGTCTCACAGTGATCAGTAAGTACGACAGACTGCTGCCCTCCAAGAACTAGCCCCATGCCTGATGTCGTCGCTAGGTACTTCGCCACCCTCACAGCTGCCGTCCAGTGAACAGGACGGTGTCTCCCTGGCGCAACAAAGCGAGCAAGGATGCAGAGAGGCAGGGCGATGTGTTTCGTCCTGTTCGCGAAGCCGTTTTTGTTGGCGATGCGAATTGCCGACTGGTTGTCGCAGAACAGGGTGAAGCTGGGTAACTGAGCCAGCTTTGCTTCTTCAAACAGTTCGCGAAGGTAGAGTCCTTCCTTGGTGGCTGAGCAGAGTGCTATATATTCTGCTTCAGATGAGGAGAGAGCATTTAACTCCTGCTTGTTCGACTGCCAGGAGATAGGACCGATAGGCTCGAAGCGGTAGATGTAGCCGGCTTGAGTAGTTGGCAGACGTGGTTAGAGTCCGTGCTGGAGCCGTGTGGTAACTCGACGAAAATCTCTGCGTCGACAGGTGCGTAGAGAAATGCGTTGGCGACGTCAATTTGCCGCAGCTTCTTCTTCTTCATGGCGGCGATTGCGAGGAGAATTCGCAGCGAGGTGTGTCGGCTGACCGGAGCGAATGTTTCGGTGAAATCACGTCCGTGTTCTTGGTCGAAGCCGCGTACGACCCAGCGCGCTTTAAATTTGTCGATGGTGCCGTCTGCCTTTGTCTTCACACGGAAGACCCATTTCCCGGTGAGAATGGTCTTGTTCCGTGCTACGCCGATGGGAACAATCTTCCAGGTGTTGCGTTCCTCCAGTGCCTTTAATTCCCTGTCCATGGCTTCGCGCCATTTTTCCTTATGCTCCCCCCCCAGAGCCTGCTGAACCGTGGCAGGCTCCTTAGGAATTGCCGTGCGGTGAACCGCGGTGACAAGACCGAGTATCTGGAGTCCACTCTGTGTGTAGCGGGGGAGTGTGGTGTCCTCGGGATAGACTGCTTCGTCTCCCGCTTCTGGATCAGGTATGAAGTTTGGTCCTACGCGTTCTGCTTCGTTGGTGTTGACTTGTGCAGGTGTAACGTAACCGTTGTCGGCGAAGTGGTAGTAGGTTTCGGCGTTGATGCTTTCGCGAGGATTTTCGTCATCCATCGGTACGTCGACTGAGCAGTATGGAAGAGGTCCGGCTGCTTCCGAGGCTCCTTCCACGTTCTGCTCGTCCTAGTTAGCTTCGTCTTCTGCCGATGCAAAGGCTCGGTCGCCACAAAAGCCACCTGTGGGGTCCCGGTCTTCTTCCAGGTTGGCAAGGTACGTCGGAAGGGTGAGTCGTTCGTAGAATATAACATCACGTGCTACTACTGTTTCTTTTTTTGTGGACGTCGAGAATCTTCCACGCGTTGTAATTCTTTTCGATGCCCAGGTGTAGTCCCCACTGTGCGCGTTGGGAGAATCGGCCGGCTCGTGCAGCTGGGGGTCGGTACTGTACCATGCACCCAAAAACTCGTAACATTTTTGTGCTGCCCAGTTTTCCTGTCCACAGCAGATGCGGTGATGCGTTGTTCGGGAGTGATGACGAAGAAAGCAAGTTGTGCAGCATGACGGCGTGGTCCATTGCTTCGGGCCACTGGTGGTTGGGTAGCCGCATGCCACGTAACAGTTTGCGCATGGTGTTCTGCAGAGTCCTGTTCATCCTTTCTGCTACGCCTTGCTGTTGATGGGCGTAGGGAAGGGAGATGAGCCGCTTGATTCCTCGTTCTGCCAGGTACTGCTTGAACCTTTGTGAGGTGTATTCTCCTCCCCCGTCTGATTGAAAGCTTTTGAGTTTCACACCCGATTCTCGTTCTGCGACAGGGAGCCAGGCGACAAAGGCTTCGAAGGCCATGTCGCGACTTGCTTGGGAGATTGAGGTGCCAGACGTAGCGAGTGGCGGCGTCGATGAACGCGATGGTGTAGTTGTAAGCACCTTGTCCGGGCGTGCGATTGTACAGGATATCGCTGTACACCTTTTCGAGTGGTGCGTAAGCTGGTGCGCTTGGATTGTGGTGAGAGGTGAACGGCTGGTGCGATAAGTCGGCTTCAAGGCAGGTGAAACATGTTCCTTTGACTCGTTGGAGTTCTCGGCCGTCGTGCAGGAGTAGTGAATCTTTGTCGAGCACTCCTGCTCTTATTGTGTTGTTTAACACCGTGTTGCTTGGGTGTCCCATCCGTGCGTGCCAGGTGCTTTCGTCGGCGCGATGTCCGGGCGACCGTCGGTACAGGTCGGAGTTGGAGTAGAAGCTGGCGGTGAAGTTGGCGCTTCGATGAACTTCTCGTCGAGTTGGATTCAGTTGCTGTGCGGGTATTGGTGGTGTATTGTCGAAGAAGAGTGGTGTCGTTGAAGGACCAGCGATTGGTGTCGATGTTGTTGTCGCTGCTGCTGCTGTTGTCTCTGCTGCTGCCGATGTTGTCTCTGCTGCCGCCGTTGTTGTCTCTGCTGATGCCGATGTTGTCTCTTCTGCTGCCGATGTTGTCTCTGCTGCTGCCGAATGTTGAATCGTTGCTAACACTCTTGTTCTTTCTGCTTCAGGAATGGTATGTGAATACCAGAAGCCTTCTGGACTGAAGTCAGGGTCGAGGTCCGGTGGATGTGTCCAGGAGGTGAAGGTGACGATCCCGTCGCTGTCTGCGGTGCCGAGATCTGGGACGAAGTCGAGGACGAAGACGTTGTTCTTCAATACTGCCTTCCCGATGTAAAGACCTCCTCTCTCGTGATACAACTCCTGAGTGGTGCTGTCTGCTTCGAGGTGTATGCCCTTCGCCATCAGCTGACTGACGCTGAGTAAGTTGTAGCCGAGGCCTTTTGCTATAAAAAATTTCGACATCTGTAGTATCACATTCGTCTCTCGTGACTAAAGTTGAACCACGCCTTGTCGTCGTGTGCGCAGGTTTTGGTTGTTGGCGGCTGTGATGACGACATCTCGTTGAATTTCATATTCCCGTTGGACGAAGCAACCCGAGGAGCACATATGCTGCCCGCAGCAACTGTCCAAGAACCAAGTGTCTTTTCCGGACGGCTCACTTTGGGCGATAGCTGCATACGTCGGGTTCGGTTGAAGTGACTCGCGGCGGGGCGTGCTGTTGTCGAGTTGTTCTTCCGGTGAGTAATGAGGTGGTGAATCGGTGATGCAGGAATCTGTCAGTCTTGCCATGCAGCTGACGATGTTTCTTGCTCCTTGTGCAATTGTGTTGTCGAAGACTGCGGCTGACTCGTGGGGTTCGCCTGCGTCGATGCCACTTGGCTGATTGAAGGGCGAAGTTGACGTTGTGGTGGTGTTGGCTGTTGTCGATTCGGGCAGTGCGTGCGTGGGTGCCCTGACGTCTTGCAGATGTGGCAGAACGGAGGTACGGGCTTCGGTTGTTGTCGGTTGTTGTTGTTGTTGTAGCGTCGTTGAGTGTGAAAAGCGAATTCCGGTGCTGACGTCTTCCTCTTGTGCCTTTCTTCTTGCAGGTCCATGTCTTGTTGCTCGGCATGAATTTCAGCGCAAAATGCTGCTTCGGAGATTCTTCCGTGGGCTCGGAGAATGGCTTTTGTGGCGCGCCATTGAGGACCGAGGCCGCCGATGATGACTGTCACGAAGGCGTCTTCAGATATCGACCCTCCGCATCGAAGGAGTTTGTCGCGCAATTCGCGACAGTGGCTGATATATGCCATCCCTTTTTCCCATGGTTTCATTTCGACTGTTGTCAGTTGCGCCAACAACCGACTCTGATTTATGCTGTCTGTTGCTTGATACAGGCTCTTCAAGTGGTTGTATGCGAGCTCGGCGGAGTTGCCGTATCCCCGGTAAGACCGTATATTCTGCTGCTGAGTCGGGGTGATATTCCTTATGAGGATTGTGTACGCCATCATTGACTGATAGGTGTACTGCTGCTTCTCATACTGTGTGCCGTTTGTTGGGTATGGCAGGGTTTCGTCGAAGAAGCCGAGGATTTGCGCGCCTTCCATCATCAGCTCGAACTCAAATGACCAGGTGAAGAAGTCCTTTCCGTCGAAGGGCCTTGACGTCTGCAGCTTCAGAACGTGTGCGAACTGCGACTGAACTTGTAGTGCGTCCAGTGTTTTCTCTTGTCCAGGTGAAGACTGTGGGTGTGGCATGAAGCTGATGGATCCGCGTTCGTATGGAGCAAAGGTGGGCTGCTGTTGTTGATTTCCGCGTGCGTATGTTGAGCCATCAAGGCTCATGGGAGTCACTTTGTTGTTGTTGCTGTTGTGTGTCAGCGCAGGTGCCGATTGCTGGTGCTGTTCGTAGAAGGATATGAAGGAGAAAAACTTCTCCATCATGCTCTGGTCGAAGCCTGCAGGTTGATTTGTGGGGGTCTTGGTAGATGTTGCTCTTGGTCTTGTTGCCGTACCCTCCTCTGTCTGTAGGCCAGAGGCAGGAGGTGGAGTAGGAGTAGTGCCAGGAGAATTGTTAGAGGGACTTCTTTCCTTCTGAGTTGCCATGCCTTCTGATGTTATAGGTGACTTGATAATAGTTGAATTCCCCTTGTTAGCTCTCATACAATGTTGGGCTGAAAAAGCCCTTAGGATCTTTGCAGGGGTGAATTCTGGATAATACTTGTTGTAACAGCGGAAGCTTTTAAAAAAGAAATGCTTGAACCACCTTGCGCTAGTATGTGAGGGCAAAGTAGATTAATAAAAAACAAGGAGATACAAGCTTTTTATAAGAGTACAAGGAATATCAAAGGTTATAACTAATAACTGGTTTACTGTTGCTGTTGCGGTTCGATACAGTGACGACTCGGGCAACTGCTCAGTAACGAGTCAGTTGTGTGTCCTTGCTGTCGCGCTGTACTTGTCAGGTCAAAGGTCGCTGACCTTTGACTTTCGCGTAACCTCCAGCAACTGCTCAACCTCCGAGGGTTGACTCGCCGGTGCTTTGATATACTTCGCTTCACTTGTGGCTTGGTGTTTCGACACGACAGAGGCGCTTAGAATTAATTGTTTCCAACAGCTGGGTGAAAGGTCTTACGAATAGTGAAACACTATTGTACACTCCTAACAGTTAAGCGAAGCATGCAGTACTGAGAATGAATGCGAGGAGTCAAAGTTGACTCGAAGCGACGCAGGCGGTTGGAATGGATCTGGATTGTCGGAGCAGACGGCATCGGGCAGTTGCAGGGAAGAGAGATTTGGCGAAACAGTTTCGTAACTGTACGCGTGAATGTACCCCTTTGTCAAATGTTGTAGCCTTTGGTAAGGCTTGTCTTAGGGGGTATACATGTTAGGGTTTGCTATATGTACCCCAAAACACATGAATGACACAACACTTTCATTCTTGACATGGTATCACCTAGGCTGGCAGGGCTCTCGCTATCAGACATCTTTGTCTGTTTTTCTAAGGAATCATACAGAATATTTTTCAGACATCTGATTTTCAAGAAATGCATTTCTTATGCCGTCTGATTGATCAGAAATGTTTTTTAGTTTCCATCTGTTCTATCAGACACGTGTTTCCTGTTTCGTCTGAAATCGAAACATAGCATATCGCGATTCCCAGCGGGTGGGAAGGGAATCTCTGCTGTGACGGTGCCTGAATCTCTGCTGTGATAGGTTGACTCGTTGTGTCAGGGCGAATCCTTATACGAAGTGCGAATCCCTCTTGTGTTAGTGGTGGGAAAGGGCGGATGTGGTGTGATGACGGGGCGAATGTGGTGTGAAGGGCGATTGTGGTGTGAAGGGGCGATTGTGGTGTGACAGGGCGAGTATTAAGTGCCATTCGAATGAATGTGAAAAGTTTGACTTGATTTTATTCCCACGTGCATCCGCACACTAGTAATTCTGTATTGATTGGTCAGACAAGGTTTTTAAAGATTTCTGATTCGTCAGACACTCAAAAGCAAAATTTCTGATGCGTCAGGGGGGTTCAAAACCTAGCGAGGACCCTGAACCTAAGTTAGGATCTTGAGGGATCCCGCACCTCTCGTCCTCGTTCGTGCGGAGATTCACTCTACAACGGTAGTGAGCTAGACTACGGGGGGTTGGCACGAACTACTAGGAGTGATCGCAGCTTTGCTTGGTTCCTTAGTGCTTGCACATTCACGAGAGAAATTGGCAAGAGTTTCCACTAGCAAAGTTGGAATTACAGAATGATTGAACAAGCAATGACAACAATGACTACATCAGGCACCTAGCAACTCTGGAGCTAGCCTGGTCGACCGCCAGCACTGCATGGTCGACCGCGTGCCAGCGTTGCGTAGAGGAGCCGCGCCAGTGCTGCAGAAAGGCGCCCTGCCAACACTGCAGGTCGACGGCGTGCCAACGCTGCAACAAAGCGGCTCTCCAGCATTACCCCGTAGAAGACAGCAATGCGCATGCTCACAGGTGCGCGCAGACGATTGGCCCGACTTGCCTCGTTGGGCATCCGTCGGCTGTTGTCTGCGCCTGACGAGCCACATCGACTTCGGGATACCATTCCGAAGTCGCCTTCGTCATCGCGATCTCGACGACGTTCGCGTGCCTCCGCCGAACTCGTCGAGCAGGTTACCCGGTCGACCTGGACACCACCAGATGCTCCCGGTCGACCACCAGGTGCCTCCGGTCGACCACCAGGCCCTTCTGGTCGACCACAGCTCCCGTCGAGCTACCCCCTGGTCGACGGACCCCTTCCGTCGACCAGAACTGCTCCGTCGACCTCCCGGTCGAGCTGCAGGTCGACGGGACGCCCCCCAGTCCTCCCGGTCAAGTTGCAGTTCGACGGGAAGCTCCCGAGGCCTCCCCGTCGAGCTGTAGTTTGACGGGATGCCCCACAGTGACATCTTGCAGCTCGACGAAGCCCGTCGAGCAGCTCCTTCACTGCGAACGGTCGGCTGCTTCACCCGTACATCCGACCAAGTCGTCGGCGTTGCCCAAGCGAGGGCGGGGCCAACACTCCATTCCCATTAACACTCCCCTGCCGCGCTCACGCTTGGGCCCCCAGCCCACACGGCAGTACTCCACGGAGAAAACTCGTCCTCGGCGTGCACCCCACACACAGCACGCCGTCACCGCACCAGCCGTGCAAAAGGGCACGGCACCTACTGCTGCATTTCGTCGTCGCCGTCGGCGACGTCGGCCAGTCGAACTTGGCCGATGGCGACAGAGCACCGGTTGAAAGCCGGAAAATGCAGCGCCTTCGTCATGAAATCGGCAGGCTGCTCGGTGGTCGGGATGTACTTCAGCACAAACTTCCCGCGCCTCACCATGTGCTGCAGCCAGGCGTAGCGTCGCTCCATGTGCTTGAGGTTGCCCGTCAGCCCCAAGCCCTCAGCGACCGTGATTGCCGACTTGTTGTCGACGTGGAGGGTGGTCGGCTTCCCAGCGTCGAGCAGCTTGAATTCCGCAAGGAGGAAACGAAGTCGGCGTCCCTCCTTGCCAGCATCCGTGGCCGCGACGTACTCCGACTCGGTCGAGGAGAGCGTCGCGCACTTGATGCGCGAGCTCGACCAGGAGACAGCGGCCCCTCCGTAGACGAACACGTAGCCGCCCGTGCTCGTCCGGTTCTGCTTGTCGCCCGCGTCATCGGCATCCACGTAGCCGATCAGCTCCAGTGACTCTGGTCCACCGCCGAACTCCAAGGCGGTGTCGCGGGTGTCGGCGAGGTAGGCGAGGCAGCGGTCGACCTCGCGCCAATGCTGGTCGCTCCTCACTGTGAGGCCGCTCCCCAGCTTGCTGCAGGCGAACGCGATGTCCGGCCTCGTTGTCGTCGCCGCGAACTGCAGCGAGCCAACCTTCTGCCGGTATTCCTCCTCCTCGCGCTCCTGCGCCTCCTCGTCGTCGAATGTCAGCTCGGCGTAGGCGTCGACCGAAACCGGCGTCTTCGGAACTCGACCGCCCTGCTCCTCGTCGATGAAGCGCCTACGCAGCTTGTCGGCGTAGCCCTGCTGGTGCAGCCACAGCTTCCGCGCCGGCCTGTCGCGGACGATCTCCAGCCCAAGGTACTTCACCACCGGCGAGATCTCCCGCAGCTCGAAGGCGGACTGCAGCAGCTCCTTCAGCTCCTTCAGCATCGCGGTGCTGCTGCTGGCAGCGAGCAGGTCGTCGACGTAGACCAGCACCCAGCAGGTCACTCCGTCGTCGCCGGTCTTGAAGTAGAGCGCCTCGTCGACCTGGCTCTTCTTCCAGCCAGCCCCCAGCAGCACTCCGTCGAGAGCTCTGTACCACAGCAGCGGCGACTGCTTCAGCCCGTAGAGGCTCTTCAGCAGCTTACACACCCGGCCGGTCCCATCGTCGAAGTAGTCCGGCTGGTACATGTAGAGCACCCTGTCGAGCTTGCTCTGCAGGAAAGCGTTCTTCATGTCGAGCTGCATCAGGTTGAGGTCGAGGACGGCGACGATGCTGAGGAAAATCCGCAGCGTGACGTAGCTGCTCACCGGCGAGTACGTCTCGTCGTAGTCGGCGCCGTACACCTGTGTGAAGCCCTTCACGACCAGCCTCGCTTTCTCGCGCTCGACGGTGTCGTCGATGCGGTACTTGGTCGTCAGCACCCACCGGTTCTTCATGACGTTCACTCCGCGTGGGCGTTCGACCAGCTCCCAAGTGCCCATGCCGATGAGGCTGCGGATCTCCTCCTCCATGGCGGCCTTCACCGCCGGGCCCTTCCAGCTCGCCAGCGCCTCCTTCACCGTCATCGTGGCGATGTCCCAGCGGTGTTCGGGGTCGGCATGCACGTCGGGGTCGAGCTCCGGCAGGTCTTCATCCTCCTCGGCGTCGTCGTACAGCAGGTCGTCGTCGACCTCGTCGTACACCGTGGTGAAGGCAGCTGGTGGCAGGCAGGCGTGGGCGTGGTAGCTCAGCTTCGCTGGCGGTCGTCGAGCTCGACCAGACCGTCGCAGTTCTGGCGCAGGCTTCTCGACCGGAACCTCCACCACGTCGCTGTCGGTGGACTCTTCGTCCGCTGACAGTTCCCCTTCCTCGTCGACGGCCTCGTCGCCGACCAGCTGCTTCGACTCTTCGACCGGCTGCTCGTCTGCTGCTGACTTCGACAGCTCCCCTGTCGACCGCCCCGGCTGCTGCTCCCCTGTCGACGGCCCCCTCGATGCTGCATCCTGATCGACCGGCTCCCCTGTCCGCTGCTCCCCTGTCGTCGACTTCCGGCCCTGGTCGACGAGCTTGGCGCCTTGTCGACCGCCGGCGATGCCACTGGCCGGCGCCACAGGCGACGCCTCACGGCTCCCCTCATCGCCGGTGGCCGACACAGGTGTCGAGGCAGACCGATCTGCGACGGGGGAGGGGAAGGGAGGAGCAAGAACAGGGGGAGGCGGAGGAACCTCCACAACATCGTCGTCGGCAGGCTCGGCAACTTCGGCGAGCAGGGGGTCCAGTGCCGTCGAGGTGTCCGTCGGCGAGTGCGCCTGCGTCCGCCCCGACGCCAGCCCAGACTGCGTCTTCCACACCTCCAGCGACAGCGTCTCGTAGAAGATCACCTCGACCGACGTGACCACCTTGTTGTCGGTGAGGTCGAGCACCTCCCAGCCCTTGCTCGCCGGCGACACGCCCAAGTGGAGCCCCCAGCGAGCCTTCGGTGCCAACTTCCCACCGCGCTGCTGCTCAGGAACCATGAACTGCACCATGCAGCCCCACACCCGCGCCAGCGTGAGGTCGGGCTTCGTCCCGGTTAGCAGCTGGTACGGAGTCGTCCCCGGCGGCGTCGTCGACCGCTCCAAGCAGTTGCGCACCCAGACGGCCTGTCGAAGAGCGAGGTGCCACCAGTGGTGCGGCACACCCATGTGCAGCAGCATCGTCCGCACGGACTCGACGACCGTGCGCATCTCCCGCTCCGCCATGCCGTTCTGCTGCGGAGTGTAGGGGCACGTCAGATCGTGGACGATGCCCTTCCCGTCGACGAAGGTGGTGAAGTCCCGTCCGAGGAACTCCCCTCCCCGGTCAGAGCGGAGCGACAGCACCGACTTCTTCGTCTGCCGTTCCACCAGCACCAGCCACTTCTGGAACTCCCGCAGCACGTCGCTCTTCTTAGCGACCGGCATTGTCCACACGAAGCGAGTGTAGCGATCCTTCAGCAGAAGGAAGTACAAGCTGCCATCCTTGGCAGCCACCCGAAATGGCCCGCACAAGTCAATGTGCACGACAGCCAGTGCCTCCTCGGCGTCCGAGCCCTTGTCAGGGAAGGTGTGCCGCGCCAGCTTTCCTCCGACGCACGAAACGCACGGCGGGTCTGCTCCGGTCGACGGCGTGATGTCGAGCCCAGTAGCAACTTCATGCTTCGCCGAGCTCTTGATCGTGTCGACGCTGACATGGGCAAGCCGCGCGTGCATCCTGTCAGGGGTCGCCTTCGTTGCCGAGACGATTGTCCGCAGAGCCACCACCTCGGTCGACGGCAACGGCGTCGAGCAAGGGCGAAGGTCGGTGCAGAGGATTCGTCCGGTGTAGCGTGCTCGACCGAGCACCTCCCCGGTTGCGGCGACGAGCAGCAAGTCGTCGCCGTCGCCCCGGAACTTCACTCCGCTCTCTTTCAGTTGGCCAGATGACAGCAGATTCGCATGTACCCCCGGAACGTAGAGCACGTCGGGGATGAGGACCCGCTTTCCGGCCTCCCCTTGTAGAGCGACGGTTCCGCGACCCTCGACAGGCTGCAACGCCCCATTGAAGCCGCGCACTTGCTTCACCTCGTCGCTCGGCGCCATGTCGACGAAGGCCGCCTTCGTCCCCATCAGGTGGTGGGAGCACCCGCTGTCGAGCAGCACCGCCATCGGGTCAGCTTGCACAGCTGCCGCCACCGCCTGGAAGTCCTCGCCAGCCTCCGGCGCCAGCGGCACTGTCGGCTCCATCACGCCGACCATCGAGCACGACGCCTCCCCGTCGCCTCGGTCCTTGCCGCTGGAGCTGTCGACTTCCTTCGTCGACGACGCCTTCTTCGACGCCTTCTTCTCCTTGCGCGGCTTCTCATCTCGACGTGGGCGACGGCTGGCCGATCGACCGCGGCCTCCCTTGCTGTCGTCCTCGTCGCTGTCATCGCGGTCGGGGCATTCGAAGGAGAGATGGTCGGGATCGCCACAGATCCAGCACTCCCGCCGTCGACCACCACCTCCACGACCCTTGCCCCGCGTAGACTTCTTCTCGTCGACGTCCTTCGTCGACCGCCCACCTCTGCTACGACCTCCGCCCGACTTCCCGCGCTGCCCTTGCTGCTGATTCAGCTTCGTCGGTGCAGCGTAGTTTGCCTGCGGAAGGAGCTCCGTGGGCTGTTCGGCCTCCTGCATCGCCTCGTCTTGGAGGATGTAGCTGGTGATGGAGTCCTCGTCGAGGGACTCACGCGTGCCGGGCACCATCATCATCCTCTTCATGAGGTTGTATCCACGCGGCAGGCCCTTGACGACGTGAGAGATGTAAGACGCCGTCGAGTACTCGGCACCTGCCATCCGCATCTCCGCCAGGATCCGTCGAGCACGGTTGCAGTAGTCCGTCGCCGACTCCTGCTCGCCCATCCGAATGTGAGTCATCTTCTCCTCCAGCTGGCCGATGTACAGGTCGTCCCTCATCTGGTACGTCGACAAGATGAAGCGCCATGCCTGGTGACCAGCATCTAGCCGCTCTCGACAACTCCTGAGCGCTAGCTGCACCACCGGCGAGCAGCACCTCGAGATGACCATGAAGGTGAGCAGGTGGGCCGCATGAAATTCCCTGCGCAGCTCGACATCCTCCTCGGGCGGAATCGGCACTGTGCTGTCGGCGAAGCCTCTCAGCCCGGCGACCTCCAGCTGGGGTTCGATCGACTCCCTCCAGGTGATGAGGTCCCGTCGACCTTGCAGCGGGGCGACGGTGATTCGGTCCGGCGAGAACTTGAAGTAGCCATACGCCGGTGCAATCCCGCCCGCTGTCACATGCGTCGTCGCCGAGAAGCCTCCACCACTTCGTAGAGGAGAGCGACGGCGACCATCCACATCGACATGCGAACTGCCCGCAGCCGCCGTCGATCGCTGCACTCGTGCCTGAATTCCATCGACGCCACAGTCGACCCTGATCACCCCTCTCTGCCTCGTGCCTTCGCTGCCGCTGACTCGAGCACCTCCGTCGACCTCGACGTCGACGCCACCTTCGTTTCGTGCCGGTCGAGGAGATGCAGGACGGGAAGGGTGTTCCGTCGCCCACTGCGCCCGGATGCCCAACTCGACGATCGTCAAGGGGATCGTCCCGTACTCGCCATCCGCGTGGCGTCTCCTCCCATCAGCCAAGCGTGTCTCCAAGGTGTCCGCTACACCCGCTTCTACAACGGGGTCGACCATGACGACTAACGCTGCTGCCGGCCTACGAACGACTTAGTAGGTGCAAAAGTCGGCTCCTATCTGAAGGTAATTTGCGGGGCCGTCCACGCTCACCGCACCATGCGGAGATTCACTCTACAACGGTAGTGAGCTAGACTACGGGGGGTTGGCACGAACTACTAGGAGTGATCGCAGCTTTGCTTGGTTCCTTAGTGCTTGCACATTCACGAGAGAAATTGGCAAGAGTTTCCACTAGCAAAGTTGGAATTACAGAATGATTGAACAAGCAATGACAACAATGACTACATCAGGCACCTAGCAACTCTGGAGCTAGCCTGGTCGACCGCCAGCACTGCATGGTCGACCGCGTGCCAGCGTTGCGTAGAGGAGCCGCGCCAGCGCTGCAGAAAGGCGCCCTGCCAACACTGCAGGTCGACGGCGTGCCAACGCTGCAACAAAGCGGCTGTCCAGAATTACCCCGTAGAAGACAGCAATGCGCATGCTCACAGGTGCGCGCAGACGATTGGCCCGACTTGCCTCGTTGGGCATCCGTCGGCTGTTGTCTGCGCCTGACGAGCCACATCGACTTCGGGATACCATTCCGAAGTCGCCTTCGTCATCGCGATCTCGACGACGTTCGCGTGCCTCCGCCGAACTCGTCGAGCAGGTTACCCGGTCGACCTGGACACCACCAGATGCTCCCGGTCGACCACCAGGTGCCTCCGGTCGACCACCAGGCCCTTCTGGTCGACCACAGCTCCCGTCGAGCTACCCCCTGGTCGACGGAC